CCTTTTAATTAAGTATATTACTTTGGTGGTAAAAATAAAATCACACATTTAGAAAATAAAATACGTGAAATAATTTGTCCAACAACTATTGGCACCCCTGTTTAAGATATGGTTGAGGACTTCTAAAAATTCTCAATTTTTTAAAAACAAAATAAAATCCAAATGGAAAAAAAAGAGAAAAATCCAACTTTTTAATTAAGTATATTACTTTGGTGGTAAAAATAAAATCACACAGTTAGAAAATAAAAAACCTGAAATCATGTGTCCCACAATTATTGGCACCCCTGTTTAAGATGTGGTTGAGGACTTCTAAAAATCCTAAATTTTTTAAAAACAAAATAGAACCCAAATGCAAAAAAAGAGAAAAATCCAACCTTTTATTTAAGTCCATTACTTTGGTGGTAAAAATAAAATCACACATTTAGAAAAATAAAAAACGTGAAATCATGTGTTAATACTTTGAACAACCCTCTTTTTCCAACAAGAAAGCACTTAATCTCCTCCTATAACATTTCACAAGATTAGAGAACACAGAGAGAGGGATCTTTGACCATTCTTCTTTGCACAATCTTTCTAGATCCTCCAGAGTCCTGGGTCCTCTCTCATGCTCTCTCCTTTTTAGCCCCCCCCACAGGTTTTCCATTGGGTGGAGGTCTGGGGACTGAGATGGCCATGGGAGGACTTTGAGTTTGTGACTGCTGTAGATTTTTTGTGTAGTTTTTGCCTCATGTTTTGGATTTTTCTCTTTTTTTTTCCATTTGGGTTCTATGTTGTTTTTAAAAAAAATATGATCATTTTTAGAAGTCCTAATTCGCATCCTAAACAGGGGGGCCAATAATTGTGGGACACATGATTTCACGTTTTTTTATTTTCTACATGTGTGATTTTATTTTTACCACCAAAGTAATGTACTTAAATAAAAGGTTGGGTTTTTCTCTTTTTTTGCATTTGCGTTCTTTTTTGTTTTTAAAAAATGTTGAATTTTTAGAAGTCATCGACCCCATCTTAAACAGGGGTGCCAGTAATTGTGGAGGGCCCTGTGAGCTCTGGTCATCTGTACCTCAGCGGTGGTGTTCTGTGTGCCGTTCAGGTTGTCCCGGGCGTCTTTTAGGGCGGACTCTGCTTTCTGGATGGCCTTCTCCGACTCCTCCAGCGCCTGCTTGGTGACGTTGACGGCGTCCCTCACGCCCACGGCCTGGCTCCTGCACAAAGCCCAAAGCAAGAGGACAAACGGCTGTATTTCCTGGTTATAATAAACATAACTAAACAGAGTGACAGGAAAAAGTCATCACTCAATTTTGGGTCACTTCCAAACAGTCAGAACTTCTTATATTGTTTTGAGTGGCCTTGCTCCATAGTTCTCCAACCTTTTATAGATATGTATTGTTTTTTTTATTCTAATTTCAGTCCTGTCTTTGTACCTCTGCTGATTTATGAATATTCTAACAACTTGGTCACTCATTTTCATCATTCAAAAAGAAATAAGGCCTCTAATTTAAGTTATGTACTCATTTTCTTCCATCTTCCTTTAGATGATTAATCCATTCTTGATACATTCTTTGGTGAGTGACCGAAAGAAAACTATCTATCTCCAGCAAATGAAGAGGATCTGAAAGTGATGTCCTTAAGAAAGAGGACCAGATCCAGCAAAGACCCGACCCAGGAGCAGAGAGATGCATCTGGACCTCCAGCTGATCATCTCCCATCAGAAATGCTCTCCAAGTCTGGAGACCCATTCCTGACCACTCCTAAAATAAACTTTGTCTCAGAGTTGGGCTGTGTGTGGGGAATAACAGGAGCTCGGACTTTAAAGCTTGTCAGAAGAACATTTTCAGTCGTGTTTGTTCACATCTCAGTGGACGTTTCCTTTTTTTTCCCCCTTGGAATATATTAAACACAGAAGGGTTGCTCAAGCTTTTACACAGTTCTTTACATTTGCACAAATATGCTTACTTCTGTAATACGATCACGTACTTGCTGTTTTGCAGCACTCTTTCTTAGTTCTTAGTTTAAGTTAAGTCTACTATTTAACTTAAATTGATCCTTTTCTGCTACTCTGTTTACAATATATTTTTAATCTTTAATTCTTTCTTAATTCTTTGAATACGTTGCTCCAAACCACGTCAAATTCCTTGTTTGTAAAAATACTTGGTCACCAAACCAATTTCTGACAGTTAGATGGTAAAAAGTGGGAAAGATCACCGGTGACTGAACCCCACTAAACTGAAACTGATTCTGGCCACTAGAGGGCAGTAGACACCGGCTTTATTCTCCACTGGGCTCCAACGGGCTCATTGATTTTCTGATCCAATTCCAAAGACAAAACTTTTGTAATTTTTGTGGTATTTGGAGTTGGCAAGTGTTTTTTAATATGTTTACAGCCACACCAATGTGCAAAAAGTACAAAAAAAGGAATGTTTGGAGTCCATTTGAATATCTTGATTTGACTATTTACTACCATAAAAAGCTGTGGCTGTTGGATTAGTTGGGATATGACTCCTATTTAAATAGCTTTCATCTTTACTTAAATCAAATAATTTCATAAATTGTCCACATCCAACGTATACAATTCAGGCTTTGAACAGCCTGAAGTTTGACGATTTGGACGAGGGGAGGGGAAAACTCTGGACAGGTCACCAGTCCCACAAGGAAAAATGGCCCAAACGACCGTCCAGGGCAAATTATCCCTCACTTACTCTGCATCTTTAGCTCTCTTGAGCAGCTCCTTGGCTGTGCTGATGTGCTGCGAGGTTTGGTTGACCACTCCCTCGACGGTGGTCAGGTTGGCCAGGCTGTCCTTGATGTCTCTGACCATGTGGTCCAGCGTGGTCCTGTTGAATGGCAGCGTGATGGACAACACCTGCTTCGCGATCTTCTCTATGCTCTCCGGATCCGCTCCCTCCTCTGAGCGGCGGGAAACGGGAGAGAAAAGGGATCGTGAACTCGGGTCCGTGATGCGTCCATCTTAGCCGATAAGGCCCGGCCGGACACCCACCTGTCAGGAAGTCTTTGATCTTCTTAATCAGGTCTTTCAGATCCTTGTTGCTCTTTTCGAAGTACTCCTTCTTCTGCTGAGCCTTCTCCAGCGTGGCCATCGTCTGGTTCTTCACGCTCCGGGTCAGAGAAGATAAATCCTCAAGCTGAAGGCGGGAAAATATAAAATAAACTAGCTGTGAGAATGCCGAAAGCTGAATGGAGGAAGCCAAAGAAAAGCTGAGAAAGACGTAGAACTGAAGAGTGGAAGAAGAAAGGCAAAAGGATTAGAAGAAGAAATGCTGAAGGGAAGAACCAGAAGAAGCCAAAGAACTCAAGAGTGGAAGAAGGATTAGAAGAAATGAAGTTAATGGAATTTGAATTTGAACCAGCAACTTCTCAATCTGGAGTCAAACCCTCTACCATTGAGCTATACCCCAATCAGAAAGGCTGCATGGGACTACATATGAAGAATTTAAAGGGGCTGAAATGCCAGTGACCAGCAGATGGAGCCATGTTTTTGACTTTCAAAGAGAGAAAATACAAGCAGAAAAAGTGAAATATCTTAAAAAGTTGAAAAGATTTGAACACCAAAAGTCATAGCTGCATAATCCTGAAGGAGCTGAACATTTCGACACCTAATTTGTGGAAATAGGCTGATAACTGTGGGCGTATATAGACGCAGAAGAAGTGAAACGGGAAACAAATAGTGAAATTGAGTAATTAAACCCCCCCCGAGGTTCCTCTGAGGTCCCCCCACCTTTCTGGAGACGGTCTGCAGGTCTTTGGTGAAGGCGTCCAGGCTGTGGGAGACGTTCCTGGCTTTGCTCAGAGCGTCCTCCGCGGAGCTCACCGTCCCGTTGCATCCCTTCCCTCCGCACACCAGCTCATCCCGGTCGTCGCGGCAACCGGCGCCGCCGCACGGGCTCTCCGGGCAGCTGCCGTTGGCGGAGGCATTCCCGCCCCCACCGCAGACCTGGGAGGAGCCCGGCTCGTCATTAAAGGCAACGTCACAAAATGCAAACGGAAAAAGAGTTTTTCAAGTTTTTTTCCGCACCAAAACCCAAATAACTAAACTAACCTCTCTCTAATGCAGTGTTTTTCAACCACTGTGCCTCGGCACACTAGTGATGGTCAGGTGTGCCGTAGAAAATCATCCTATTTCACCTAATTGGTCTAAAAAGATATTTTGATAAGGATTTAATTATCTGCAAATATTATGCCATTTTTGAGTGTCTGTGCTGTTCTAGTGACTAGTGGCGTAATCATGTAATAATTCCTTATGACTAGATTTTGTATATAATTTTATATATTGAAGTGGACATGTTAAGTGCAATTTGAAAGACGAAATATATAATATGATAAAAAATACATTTTTGTGTTTATTTGATTCCTATTCAAGACACTTAAGATAAGACTTAGACTTAGACTTCCATTATTGTCATTGTACAAAAAACACAAGGTGAATCTTGACAACGAAATGTCGATTACTTGATAAGATAAGAATAACTATAGTGTTACTATAGGCGGCTACAGATTTGTTTGACATTTTTGGTTGGTGGTGATTATTTCAATGAAAAAATGTACCTTGGGTCAAAAAAGGTTGAAAAACACTGCTCTAATAAACTCAAAATAACTTTCGCTTTGCAAACTTTGGTTCAGTTTCGGGATTAAGAGAACAGGAATGAGTTTGTTTTTTTGGTGATGCATTCATTAGAAAACTTCTGTATTTAAAAGATCCTTCAACTTCAACTTTGTTATTGAGGGAGTCGGCTTTGGGTGGGAGACCCAAGGTTTCCCACTTCTGTGTGTATCAAACATGTACTGAGATTAAAACGTGTCTTCTTTTTAAAAAAAAACTTTTTTTCTTCTTGCGAGGTGGTGAAAAAAGTCAAGCTTTCTCACACAAATCTCATAGTTTGTCTCTTTTTTGACATCAAGCCTTTCCCAAAAAATGGAATTGGCCGGGAATTTTCCCTGATTCAGACCTGAACACACAGCACTGGGTGATGCATATATGCTGACTCATCACCTTTGCCTTGCGGCTCATTTTTACAGCAACACGCGGACGTAAAAAAAATACCGACTGGCTCGGGTTCAGAGTCAGTTTAAAAGCTGGATGCAATCATTTGCTGTCTGAAGGGAAGCCAACACAGGTGGGATGCAGCTAAGAGAAGAGCTAACACCAAAAAAGAGGCCTCAGTGAGACATGTTGAACCATGTGTGAGTTCTTATCTGGATGCAAACCGACAGGTTCACAAATCACTGCGAGCACACCTGAAATGTGGAGCTCCTCCAACTGACAAAAGGCTCAATTTCACCCGAGGAAATGCTTCTTAAGCAGCCCCCACTCATCACAGAAAAAGAAGGAAAAACCAGAAGTGACCTTTCCCACGACTCATTTAAAATGAAAAAAGTGCTCAGAGGAAACAAAGTAGCATCTGGATTGCTCACACTTCGATAAAATCACGAGTTCATGGATATTAACACAAAAGAGTTGCCAGCTTTTGTATTGAGGCGAAAGAAAATTAAGAAGAATTCAACTCTTTAAGCTAACCTCAGAATCAAAACATGAACCCTTTAAAGCCTGATCCAAGAATAAAACAAAACGGAAAATGACCTTTTTTTTGGTTTGAAGTACTTATTTTGACTTTTAACAAAATATGTAAAAAGAAAAAAGAAAAAGACACTTTCAATATTTATAATTTATTACTATGCGATAAGTCGAGATTCTTTTTTGTGTAGTCTTCTGCCCCCTGTTATCAAGTGTATCTGATTGTGTATAATAGTATTTTGAGCAAAGTTTTAACCATTAAATTATGCAAAAGGAGTCAGACGCAAAACATTTTAGAAACCGTATGAATCAAATATGATACGTTTGGCATTACAGGGTATATAAAAAATATCACAGCTTCTTGTATGGAGCCTGCAAAACTCTGTAGGCATAAATCTGAAACACAATCACCAAAATGGTTCAATCCTGATTGACTGATCCTTCTCAGATCCACTCGTTCTGCTCACCTTGTTGCTGACTAGCCTGACCTGCTCGTCCAGGTCGGAGGCCTTGTCCTGCAGCTCTTTGATCGATTTGTTCTGGGCAGCTATGTCCTGGAGGAAAGCCTCTCTGGTTTCATTCAACAGGAGCTCCGTCTTTGCTCGGGTCTCGGCGGACTGCTCCACGGGCCCCGAGACGGAGGCGTTGCATTTCTCCTCGGCCTGCAGCGACTCCCGGTAGGACTTCTTCACCTTCTCAAATTGATCTGTGATGGAATCAGAAAGAAACCTTTCAGAGCTGGAGGCAACACACGCGCTCATGACCTTCTTTGTAAAGATCGCTACCTGCAAATCCTGAGGACAAGTAGTTGTCCAGCAGGTGTTTTTTGTGAGCCACGGTGCCGTTGACGTCCCTCAGCTGCTTCTCTAAGTCGTCCAGAGTGCTTTTTAGGGCCTCCTCCGCTCCTGCTGTGGCATTTAGCTCTCGGCCGATTCCCATCAGGCGTCCATCAGTGAGCGCGATCTCAGCTCTGAAACCCCAGCAGGACATTTACATCCCACAAATTTATTGTTTCTACAATCTTCCAATTTAAAATTGGTTGATCTTGTAAACTTAAGAACTGCGCAAATAATGTTCAGAGCGTCAACTGGCTCTCTTCCAGAAAATGTTTTAAAACTCTTTCAGGAACGGGAGGCACTTCGCAACTACATTCTCAGAGGCAAAAATCAATTACACAAACCAAAAATAAGAACTACATTGAAACAAATGTGCATCTCCAGTCGTGGTGTCACCCTCTGGAATAGCGGAGGAACATAAGTGTTGTGGAAACATAAACCGGTTCAAAAAAATATTTAAGCAGAATGTCCTGAGTAAATACCTGGAAGAGAGTGAGTGATGCTCTATGAGGGTGGTGTGGTGTAGGGAGGGGGGTGTAGGGACGGGGAGCGTTGGGCCAGTGTGTTGTCTTGTATGCATGAGTGTGGATGTGTTGTTTGTCTTGTATTTGTTTTTTTCTTTACAGGTCTTGGTGAGTGTCCCTGGGATGAGCGGGAGGGGATTGGACATGCATAAGCTTTGGCTTCTTCCATCCCCTTTTCAAGCCATGCATTTGTATTGTTTGTCACTATATGTATTCTAAAATGTGTGCAGGTTTGAAATAAACTCTTGAACTGAACTGAACATTTGCTATTATTTTTCCTTTAAAGGAGTCATATTATACCCTATTTCAACAAGTTAAGCTAGTTCCCTGGTGTCTTAATGTAATGTCTGTGACAAGCTTTGGTCAAAATCCCATAAGGATGAAGCCCAATAGCAGTTCAGTCCCCCTGCCTAACCCTAACCCTAACCCTAACCCTAACCCACAACAGCCCCGTTCAGAGCGCTCGCTTTGGAGTGCCTGTCTCTTTAAATGCAAATGAGACACAGGCAATCCACCCACTTCTTCCGGGAGGTGTGCCCACGTCGGCATGCTAACGCTGCCATGCTAACGCTGCCATGCTAAAGCTACCAGGACGTCTCCACAGATAGGGGAGTAAGCTGAGGGGGGGGGGCAACATGCAGGTGAAAGGCTGGAATATTATAATGAGCTAGAGCTAATGACGTCAGAAACTACCCACTCCTGAAACCTCCTGATTTATCTGCTGGATTGAGACTGAGGCGGCCCACATTTTTTTTCACCCTTTGCCTGCTCCACAGTCCCACATGTACATAATCAAATGATTAAAAACTTGGTTTTGCATAATAGGTCCCCTTTAAACGCGCGCGGCTGGAAACGAGCGAGGCCACAGACCTGAGGTCGTCGATGCTCTGCCCGATCATCTGGTGGATCCTGGCGTTGTCCTCCGTTCTGATCAGATCCTGGACCCGCCTCAGCTTCCTCTCCAGCTCCTTGATGCGGGTCTCGTTGCCTCCGGGGAGGACCCCGTTCTCCAGGATCCTCTCCACGGCGTACTGGATGTGGTCCAGGTCCCGCTTGATCTGGCAGACGATGTCGTCCCACAGCTGGAAGCAGGCGTGGCAGCGGGCACAGCTGGGGAAGCTGCCCGAGAAGCCCCGGGCGCACTCCTCACAGCGGCCCCCCGCAGCCCCCTCCCGGCACTCGCACTGCCCCGTTAGCCGGTCGCACTGGGCCATCTCCGAGCCCAGGGGGTGGCAGTTGCACTCTGAATGGGGGGGTGGGGGGTGTGGAGGGGGACACAGGAAGAAAAGGCTCTAAACATCTGGAACCATACTCGTGTTTTTCCAATAAAAGGTGATATAACATGGGGGTGTGGTGGTTAGCACCGTCGCCTCACAGAAAGAGGGTTCTGGGTTGGAGTCCTGGGGGAACCAGGACCTTTCTTCCGGAGGGTTCTGGGTTCAAGTCCCCGGGGGAACCAGGACCAGAGGGTTCTGGGTTGCAGTCCCCGGGGGAACCAGGACCAGAGGGTTCTGGGTTGGAGTCCCCGGGGGAACCAGGACCAGAGGGTTCTGGGTTGGAGTCCCCAGGGGAACCAGGACCAAGGGGTTCTGGGTTGGAGTCCCCGGGGGAACCAGGACCTTTCTGGGTGGAGTCTGCATGTTCTCCTGTGTCTGTGGGTTCTCTCCGGGTTCTCCGCCTTCCTCCCACCGTCCAAAAACCTGCATGTTGGGTTGGCTGGACTCCAAACAGCCCTTAGTGTGAGTGTGTGTGGTTGTTGGTCCTTGTGTGTCTCTGTGTGTCCCTGTGATGGACTGGGGACCGTCCAGGGTGACCCCGCCTCTCCCCATTGGCTACTGGAATAGGCTCCAGTCCCCCCTAGACCCCATTAGGGAACAAGCGGTAACGATAATGGATGGATGGATGGAGATGATCTCCAGAGGCTTTGTGGAAACACCCGTCTCCTGTAATTTAAACCGACTCACCTGGATTCTGTCTTCCAGATTGCTGACTCATCAAAGTTTCTAATCACATTATATCCCCGCAATTGTGCTGATAAACTTTTACGGATTTAGCCTCCTTTAGCTCACCTCCCGATTTCAGCACTATTCTGCCTTACTGTTGCCGTTTGAGGGGGTGGTCAAACTCTGGCCCTCGAGGGCTGCTGTCCTGCAGGTTTCTAATGTCTGACCGCTTTATCCCACCTGACTCTGATTAAATGGAAGGAGGCAGAAGCTGGAAAACACTGAAAACCTGCAGGAAAGTGGCGCCCTACGTGATGACAGAGTCATGGCGGGACACGTGTAGTAGCACAGTTAATTAAGATCACCAGACCGGGTTACCTTGGCACTGCACCCGCGGGTCCCCCCAGTGGAACTGCTCACACTCCGTGCACTGTCTGCCCCCGAAGCCCGGCCGGCAGTGGCACTGCCCGGTGAACTGCAGACAGACAGACGCCATGAGAACCTCCTCCCACCCACTCAGAGCATCCATGCACCCTCATCCTGACTGTCACCGACTTTTATTGTTTACAAACCAAATTCTTCCAACAAAGGAAAGGCCATCGGTGGTTTTGACGCACTATCCTGTTATTTCTTGTAAAATGATAGGGAAATAATAACTGTTGGAAAGCCCAGTTGTTTTCTATTAGGATATTCTATATTGTGTTCTCGGTTAGTTCCCATATGTCTGACGCTCATGAACGCACCACTGATTACACCACACCTGCCTGTGAGATGCGTAAACGTTTGTCTTCCGGATACCACCGCGTACAGATCGTGATTTCTTTGTCTAATCATTGTACATATCCTAATACCTAGTGGAGTAGTGGTGCGTACATTACAAAAGAAACACAAGAAATCCACAATCAAACCAGACATCTGCCTCCGTGTCTTTTAACGGGGCTGTAAATCAGGGTGTATTTCTGGAGAACACTATCTTTCTCCTTTTTAATAACTAAAAATTCATTAAAACTTTGATGCAAAATTAAGTAAAAAATGTTGTCGAAAAGTAATGCAAAAGTGTGGTGTGGTCAAAAAATCCTGACATTCACCACCAAACCACAAATACCCTGGCTGTTCTTACTCTCCCAAATTAATGGGAGGAGCTTAAGAAATGACCAAATAAATCCTAATAATTCCAAACAAATTCATTCCAATATGGTTCTGTACAAACAAAAATAGATTTTAACCCTTTAAAGCCTGATCCAAGAAATATAAGAAGAAGTCTTTCTTTGGCCCCTCAACAACATATGAAGAAAAAAAAACACAAATTATTTTGATCAAATTAGCGTGCAATAAGTCAAAAATATATTTTGGTGTAGTCTTCTACTGGCTGTTATCAGGTATATCTGAATGTGTACAACAGGGGTTTTACGACTGAATGATGCAAATGATGCAGAAACCGTATGAATCAAACATGATACATGTGGCATTATAGAGTTAGCTACTTAAAATGAAACCGAACATGTGAATTACAGAGAGTCCTCTGAAATGGCCGGGGCACTGACCATGTTGCAGTGGGCTCCCAGGGCGTGGCCGGGGCTGCAGCCGCAGGGCTGGCAGCCCCCGTCCCGCCCGTAGTTCCAGTAGTTGTCGGCGCACTGGTCGCAGTTGTGGCCGACCACGTTCTCCCTGCAGGGACAGGCGCCGGTCTGGTGGTTGCAGTGGCACGGCCCGTCCGGGCAGGCGGCCGGCAGCGTGCCGGCGGTCACACAGGTGCAGACTGTGGGAAGAGAGGGCGGTGGGTTACAGTGGGGAGAACAAGTATTTGATACACTGTTGATTTTTCAGGTTTTCCCACTTTGTTTTAGATTCCATCACTCACAGTTGAAGAGTACCTATGATAAAAATTACAGTCTTCTTCAAGCTTTGCAAGTGGGAAAACCTGAAAAATCAACAGTGTATCAAATACTTGTTCTCCCCACTGTATGTTTATGTTTATGTTTATGCATTTGGCAGACGCTTTTATCCAAAGCAATTTACAGACTAGACACAATATTACATTTCTCATCACTGAGCTATCCAGAGGAGAAACACTGATCAGAGTCAGTGGTGAGATAGAGATAGAGGTAGAGGGACCACAGAAGGAGCTGTGGGGGGGTAGAGGTACGGGTTAGGGTTAGGATAGGAGTACGGGTTAGGGTTAGGATAGGAGATGCTCTTTGAAGAGGGGGGTCTTCAAGAGTTTCTTGACTCTGCTGTTCTTGTTGCTTGGTAGGTGGTTCCACCATCTTGGAACGACACATGAAAACAGTCTGGATGGTCTTAAGCTGGTGAAGGCTCTGCTAGACCACAGTCCATTGATGACCGGAGTGATCGAGTTGCGACATAAGCCTTTGCAAGAGGATTCAAGTAGATGGGAGCCGTGCCCTTAAGCACTTTGTAGGCTAGTTATGTGAGACTTGGTCGAACAAAACAGGCTTTTATTGTCAGCCAGATCTGAGTCAGAAGTACAGATTGATGCGTCTAGTCTGGAGAGGTCTCATCAGATAAACTCTGCCTAATTCTGGGTGCATCTGTCCTTATATCCTCCCATATCTGTGCTCTTGGTCTTACACCAGGCTGGTTCCCTCCAGGCGTGTGGTCAGGATGTAGTTAATCTATAGCATAGACGTTTACTCTTTGTCTCCTGTTGGGCAGTTGGACTAGAATATATCTATACCATAAATATCTTCCCAACACTGTACTCTGGCAAGGTGTTTCTCAAGTGTTTATGCTTCACCTAGAGAACAATCTGGGCTTAACTGTGAGCTTCAGATACTACAAGAGCGACCACAGGTGGAGAGGGTTGGAACCAGGACATTTCTGCCCGAGGGTTCTTGGTTGGAGTCATAGGGGAACCAGGACCTTTCTACCAGAGGGTTCTGGGTTGGATTCCCCAGGGGAACCAGGACCTTTCTACCAGAGGGTTCTGGGTTGGAGTCCCCAGGGGAACCAGGACCTTGCTACCAGAGGGTTCTGGGTTGGAGTCCTCAGGGGAACCAGGACTTTTCTACCAGAGGGTTCTGGGTTGGAGTCCCCAAGGGAACCAGAAGTTACAGAGCGTTCCACCACAGAGGCTGGTCAGACGTTTCGATCACGCCCAGGTGACCGGCTATTTCCTGGAGGGTTAAAAAAAATGGCGGCTCACGTCTGCAGTCCTGGGTGAGGGCGTTGCCGTAGTAACCCTGCTGGCAGCGGGCGCAGGCGGGGCCGTCGGTGTGGTGCAGGCACCGGAGGCAGCGGCCGGTCCGCCGGTCACATGACCCCGGGTCCTGGGGGTCGATGTTGTTGTTGCACCTGCACGGGGAGCACTGGCCGCCCGGCTGCTCGGGGTTGCCGTAGTAACCGGGGGCGCACTGGTCACAGCGGGCACCTGAACGGAGAAAAAACGGGGAGAAAAGGCGCTCATAGCCTGAAAACTGGGAAAGCCCACAAAAAGAAAACAGTTCTAAGATATCCCAGGGGTGTTATCTAGCTGGGGTTTTTTGTCCTGTCTCCATGTGGTTTTGTCACTTCCTGTTTTATTTTGTTCAGTAACCCTCATCTAGTTTCAAGTCTCTTGCACTTCTCGGTGTGTCGCCTGTCCAATTGTCTTCCTGATCCCTGATTGGTTCCCCTGGGGTTCCCTTCCTCTCATGTGTTAAATAGTCTGAGTCTCTCCTTGTCTGAGGCCAGTGGGTTGTCCATGTGTTTTTGTTTGTTTGATCTTGGTACGGGCTGTACTGAATTTCTCCATGTTGAGATCAATAAAGTCTTCTTCTTCTTCTTCTTCTTCTTTTTACTGAGCATTAACCTTGGTCCTGAACCAAACCTTGCCTTGAATCTAGGTATACCTCGAAAGAGTGATTTTGTTTTTGATCCTCCTAATTTTGTCTGACTCTCGTGAGTATTATTTAATTACTTTGCCTTTTTTCCGTCCTCGTTTATGAGTGATTTTAATTTTTTACTTTTCTTAAACCATCCTCGTAGAGCGATCTTATTTTGTACTTTGTTTCTACTCCTTAACTCATTGGCTGCCAAAGACGTCTATAGACGTCAATTCAAGTACAACTGTTGACTGCCAAAGACGTCTATAGACGTCTTTTATGTTTTTCAACGAGAGTGGCTGGGGGACGATCTGCTAAAGCTTGTCCGTAAATATCAGGCTTCTAGACAGAGTATGTAGTAACAAATTGACCCTCTAGGTGGCAGTGCCACTTTTGATGGGAGATGAGCATAGACTGTAGGCAAATAAGAAAAACGTAATGGTTCGCTATGCGAAAAATGGCGCCGGTGAGACGCAAATTTAGGAAGAACGGAATAAGGTAGAAGCACTTTTTTTTTTCCTGCTGAAAGAAGAGAGTCTACTCTTTCTTTTGGTGTGTTCGGCGTTTACATAGTCATAGCACAAACTATTCTGTGGCTCTTGAAAAATCAGTCGAAATGCTCAAAAAACTCTGGCAGTATGAGACTCTCTGTTCTGAAAATGGCTGCCAGTCAATGAGTTAACAAAACCTTTGTCTATCTGATCTCTGCATCTGGGTCCTGCTTTGAGTACCTGCCTGACACAATCTGAACGCACACAGGAAGTCCGGACCGGACCGCGTGGCCCGGCTATGATCCTTTACCTGCGTATCCTTGTTTACAGTCGCAGATGATCTGATTGGACGTCTGGTCGGCCTGACAGGAACGGCCGTTAAAGTGGTCCGACCCGGG